TTAGCTGAAAAAGGCAAAAAACGTAAAATTTGAAATTTAAAGCTCTGTAAAAAATCAAATAATGAAAATAGAAATTCGGCTTAATAAGATTTTTTCGTCCAAATTTAATGCTTTGTAAGATTTGGTCATGGATTTTATGAAAAAAAAATTTCTTCCTAGGTTGCAAGAATAAATAAGGTAAAAAAGACAGTTTTCTGTGCTATTTAAGCGGCAAAACTTCAGATTCGATGAGGGACCTCTTAAAATTGAAATTATGAGCTCCGCTTTTAACAGAATATTTGTTTGGACATATTCTACGATATTTTGGGTGGAGAGCAAGAAAAAAAAATATCGAGTTTTTTTGGCACACCCTAATATATATATATATATTTGTTCTACTAATAATGCGGCCTCATTTAACATGCAGCCGCCGCCATACACAATTGTGTAAATCAGCTGATTTACAGACTCAGTTTACTGACTAATGTTTTTGCCAATTTTTAGTATCTGGAGTTAAAATTCTGAACTTAATCATATCATATAGTAATATAAATTTTGGACAAGAAAAATTATAGAAATTAAATGATTTTTAATAAATAAGGCCGTAATCTTAAAAAATAAGCAATATCGCTTAATAACAAAATATATATATTTTACTTCAAACATTTTGGCGCTACAGTCCTAATATACTATAAACTCAACAAATATATACAGTGTATATTATACACCTAACATATACGCATATAGGTGTATACATTTGTTGTTTAGTATACTTAATATGGCCTCAACTAATTTGGAAACCGCCTGCTTTTTCTACTCGATTTACATCCTCAAATATAACGACTACAACCAGAGAGAAGTTCGTCGGTCTCATCAAGAAGTAGCGTCTGCGTTATAACGCACACTATATAATGATAGGTGAGGGAATTTTCTCATTAAAAACTGGAAAAATATGTTGATGCGTTTATGCGCTCAAAGTTGTTATGTACAAAGAAATAGATTTACATTAAATAAATATAAAATATTTAAATAAAAAAAAAACGAGGTGGTACTAATGCATAGGGTTGGGATTTTGACCGGTCAAAATCTTTTGTGGTCAATTGACTAGTCAAATTTTTTCTAAAGAAATACAGGCATGAAAAAAATTACTTAATTTTAAATAGAAACGTATATTTATTAAAATACAGCTAACAAAAAATAAAGAAACCATTCTGAGGTACAAAAAAAATTCATAATATCATTGTTTTTAAGAACATTCACGTCTAACTCGCAGCAGAGCAGCAACAGCAGCCCAGCAGATAAGACATGAAGATGGTACATGAGATTGTACCGAAACGTCGTCAGACATACGGTTCTTTTAAGAACCAAAAACCGACAACACGGTGCTAGCATGTTTGGATAACGGCACATCATCCTCGCCATTGTATTTATTCTCTTAAAATTAATTAGTCAAAAATAATCCGGAACACTATTTAAAGCATTATTATGATTGCACCATGGTCCACTACAGAAATTTGTTTTAATACTTTTGATATTTTCCGCTAGGTAGCGCCGCCGCCGCGCGCGGTTGAATGAAAAGTTTTGACCGATTTTGACATGGTCAAAATTTCTCCTGTCAAAATAGGTAAAAATCTCGGTCAATTCATATTCAAGCATATTTATAAATATACAATTAATTTAACCAAAAAAAACAAACTCGATACAATAATATTTATAAGTGAAATTGGAGAAACACAGACTAAAGTTTTAAAGCAATTAAAGCGAGGGTAGAGAGTCCGAAAATGTAAGGAAATAAATCACATTGGTGGTGTGTATGAGTGTCACACCTTGAGTGAGAGGGGATGCATGAACGTAGAGGGTTCATATAAATTACAGTTTCAGTAGAAAAAATATTTTAGTTACCATATGAACAAGTTTTTAAAAATATATTTATTTTTTACCCATTACTGTTTAGAATGTTTTTTTGCCGCTTAAAATATTCATCAAAGGAGATGGCCGCTTTTGAAATTAGACGACTCATGTTATGTTTAATATACCCTGTATATTAATTTGCTATGTCAAAAATTATGGTCAAGAATTTTTAATACCTACTTATATACCCAATGATGGGAGTTTAGATAAATAAATTTATTCAAACTCCCATCATTGGGTATGGTATACGATAATTCTGTCTATTATAATTATTTAATTAAAACTTAAAGTGGAGCAATATTCTGTTTTGCTTGAATTCATATATAATATTCAGGCGAGATAGTTCAAAGAAAATATTGATTTCTCCCTATATTCATTCAAGTTTAAAAGCAGAATTTTCTTTTACTTTTTCTAGCTGAAATGCTCGACATACATTTTTTAATAAAAATCTTTGCCTTTCGAAATTTATTGTAATTGATATTGTAAAAGTCGGATATAAAATTGGAATCACAAATGAAAATATATTCAAATCCTTTACGATTAAATTAAAACATGCTTGCGTATATGTACTGGGTATGCTGCGGATTTTGAATTGAAAATTAAAAAATCAATTTTATTGAATTTACCGCAATAAAATTTGATTTGATGAAAAAATAATAGCTTTTAGCGCGACAGTATCAAGTTAATATATTTTATTAATTTAATTCTTAAAATATAATTATCAGCCTGAACGAAGTAAAAGGTTAACATATACAAAGTGTAAATTATTTTCCAAGAAGAAAAGCAACAACTTAAAAGGGAATTTACTGCACATAGAGTTTTTGCCGTGTGTCGTTCTATTTCGGTTTTGTAAGAAAGCAATAATTTTAGAATGCAATCGGTCCGGAAGTTTTCGGGAAGTCGGTTGCAGACTGAGGTTGTGATTAAGCTATCCGGTCTAGTCGCTAACTCGGTTAGACAGGTCGTGAACATCTTATACAACAACTAAAATGCATATAATATTATGTCAATGACTAAACTATTGTAATTAATTAATACTTCAATGATTAATAGACACATTAATTCAAGTATAATATAATAATATTTTGGATTATTTTTATATAAATAATTATAATTAAGGATTTTATGACAACCATTAAGTTATAAGAAAAAACAATTAAAACTAATTTAGATCTGCAGCTCGTCTTTAAATGTTAGATAATGTATTATTTTATATTTGTATACCATAATAAGCAAATCACGATCCGCATTTGTGTTTCGTATAGCGACAGTACGATATATGGCAACAGTACGATACGCAAATACAATTTATAATTCGAAATTTCTTAAAATTTTGACAAATAAAAAATAGTATAAAGAACTCATGCAAGGCGTTCTCCATACCAGGCGAGAGTGTAGCCCCCACTCCTGCATCCAAACTGTGACGTCAGGAGGCCGATAGGATCAACGTGCGCCTATTGTATTTCATTGCTTTGCAACCAAAGTTATGGATTAATATTGCTTTTAAGGAGTATTTTTTACTAAAGCAGCGGACAATGCATGAGTACATATTTTATCAAAATCAACAGAACAATATGTACAAAGTAATTTATTGAAACAGAGAACTGCTATTAAAATAGTAATTCATTGAAAACAAACAGAACTGCACACAAAAAATAATTCTTTAATTTTAAAATAACGATTGTTTTCGATTTGTATATTTTAAATTAGTATAGTCTATTTTTTATAACATGGAATAATAATTTTGTTAAGTTTAGTTTTATAAAAAAATTAGTTTATTTTTATTTATTTATTTATTTATTTCTGACCCCAAAACAGTATAGCCATACTGATAAAGGGCCTACACAAGTTTTATAATGTAATAAAGTTATAAGTTTTGTAAGTATAAAAATTTGTTTTTTATATATGTAGGTCTATAAATAGATATAATTAATGTAAAGAAAAATAAAAATTGTTAAAGAAAATTGCCAGATTTTAAAAAATAGCTGGAAAATACCAAAATATATTTAAAGTTTATATTAAGTCTTCCCTGTCCCTTGAGAAAATTTATTTTGATGTAACTATTAAAAGTTTTGTTGTTTTTTAATAGTGAATTTATACACTTTTAGAAAGGTTTTTAAAATTTCACTGTATATGTATATTATTATAATAATTATACATATCGTCCCCGTTCTGGCAAAAGTCATTAACTCCATTTTTGTCTAAAAGTAGTTAACTACCTTCGCGATCATAGAACAATTATATCTGTGGTCTAGAAAAACTTATTAAGTGCAGTATTGTATTTTTAGCATTCTAAAATTACAATACTGCACTTAATAAGATTTTCTAGACCACAGATATAATTGTTCTATGATCGCGAAGGTAGTTAACTACTTTTAGACAAAAATGGAGTTAATGACTTTTGCCAGAACGGGGACGATATACTGTACAGTATCAATACAATGTCATATTGACATTTAATATTTTTTTATTAGAATCATTTTAATACATTACACAAATAACAAATTTTCTTATTTGTTTAATGTGTTAAAAAATTTCTAATAAAAAATAGACAGGTAGATTTTTAAAAATAAAAAATATTACAATTAATCTTGTAACAAATTGGACTTTTAATTGCAACATTTCTTTCTAGAAAGAAAATAAAAATAAAAGTTAAAACAATTTTTAAAGTAAACACAAAAAAGACAATAAAAACTGCCCTAAAATTCTCGTTTAATTTATATTAATTAAAACTTTTACACTTCAAACTAAATGTGTTTAATTTTATTTGTTTTAATAAAAGATAACCTTAAACTGTGCACTACTTTAGAAAATGCAGTCATTTCTTTTTATCGTTTTATCATAAAATAAATAAACTCTAAAAATCTTTATGATAAATGCATAATAAAAAAGATAGTTTTTAATACTTTAATATTTTCACTGCTTTCAGCTGTGATAAGATGAGCTTGGTGTTTTTGATTTTTAAAAGTGTATTAAACTTTATTTGATAAACATGCATGCATGCTTTCAAGTAAAAAGGTTTTCGATAAGAGAAGGACGGTATAGTATAATATTTCTGCATAAAACAAAAAAAAATATTTCAACAAAATTTGTATAAAATGTGTACTTACGTATTTCATTAAAATAGAATGGGAAGTCCCCAGTTACGGAACAATTCAGTCTTGCTTTCAAAAATGAAGTCCATCTGTTTCTAAATCTGTGAGGTCCACCTCTGTCGTTTTTACATACTCTCGCCACTCTCGAATATACAGTCTGAAATTAAAGGGAATTTAAAATGTCAAACGAAAAAACATATTATACATAAAGTAATACTAAGGATTTTTTATGACTTCTTGCGTAACGTAATAAGGAAAGAAAAAACTGAAAAATTGTATATAAAGTCAATATAAAAGCGTATCTGTAAAATATTTTATGCCTTAAACTGAAATTAAACGGCACACCAAATACATTTCATTTTATGTTACTATGTTAGATTACTTTCAATTTCTCTATAAATTGTTTATATTTAAAGTTAGAAATATAATATATAATTTTATAGTTTTATGATTTAAGCTTATGAAAAGGCTTCATATATTGTTTAACCTTTAGAATTTACATGGATGTTTTTTTATAAAAATATAAGTAAACCACCTGTTCCTGTCAAGGGCGTCGATATTTTTTTCTTTTGAGGGGGAAAGGAAAATAATTTTGCAAAACTCCCAATTGTTTATTTGCTTTTGGATATTGGGGAAAAGGATTATAAGGTACCAAAACTGCGATTTTTTTTTTGCGAATTAAATTCTAGTGTAATAGTAATAAAATAGGCCTTTTATTATGCCACACTTAAAAACTATTTATAGAGGGCGAAATCCTGGTTTAAAACAATGTTTCTACGCAGATACGTTGTTTTAAAAAAGGATTTTACTTCGTTTGAGGCTTACAATTCTTTTTAAGAAAAATGTATGTACAAACCCACGTTCTTAATCAGGTTTAGAGTCTTTTAATTTTACATTCCTCCCAAAATGGTGTATCTACATGTTTATACGAAAATATATTTTTATTATAAGGTTTTATATTTGACTTTAATAATTTACGCATCAAAAATTGTACATTATTTATTTAGCCATTCCTCGGCAATTTTTGTAGCGTCCGTAATGGTAAAAATTGTGAGCTACCGTAGTTAAATTAAATACTTTTGCAATAGTTACTATTGCAGACATGTTTATTATGCTTGTAATAATTCAGCTTAAGCTTATAACCATAATAATTACGGTAGTTTTTACTCACAATTTTTAATTATTACGGACGTTACAAAAATGTCGAGTAACGTGGATTCAGGATAGCAAAAATTTTGGATTTCAAATGCTCCCACAAAAAGAAATCAAGGGGAGATAAATCCGGTGATCTCGCGGGCCATTCGATAGCACCCCTTTTTCCAATCCATCAACCAGGGAACGTTTAATCCAAAAACTGCCGTACAGGTAATGCATAATGGGGAGGAGCTCCGTCTTGGTGAAATATCGGATTTTCTTTATGGTAACGTTGGTCGTTTTCCATAATTTCGTCCAGCGCTGGGTTGATGGCAAGTCTAAGTAAGTAGCTCCATTTCAATTTCCCAGTAAGAAAAATTGTTCAATTAGGTGATCATCAAAAATACCAGTCCTAAGGTTTAATTTCTGAGGATATTAAGTATAAACCTTATGGAATATCCTTGAAGTCGTATCGGATCAATAACGACGATTGACAATGCCATTGAGAAAAAATAAACATTCGTCTAAAAAGCAAACATTAAAAAGGTAGTTGGGAATATTTATTATTATTTCGAAAATTATTTCAAAAAATTGTATACGGCGGTCATTATTTTTTTCATGCAATTCTTGAGAATTTTATATATATATATATATATTATATTTCATATATGAGTGTCACTTTTTCAGAATCCTCTGTACGGTGGCCTGGAAACCTCCCATTACATCAGAAAGTTTTCTGGTACTTAATGTAGGGTCCAAAGTAATTTCACCCAGAACAGCTACTTCTACTGCACCATTTCTCACCGGATTTTCAATATCTCGTTGTTTATTTTCCACTGAACCAGTTTGCCAGAATTTTTCTACTAATTCTACGTACGTGTCTATTTGCATGCCTCTCATTAAACAAATTTGTCGTTACTCTTGCACATGATTGTTTATAAAATACAATTCAATAATTTTCTCTCCGCAATAGAATAAACCATTTTTTATCGAATCAAAAGAAAATAAAAGCACAAAAATATCGAACTATCCACTTAACTGAAGATAAAGTCGATTTGTAGACTCATATTTGTTAGTTTTTTATTTACGAAATTTGTAAAATGTAGCGGTCCAGTAAAATGTTCGGAATTCCATTGCTCGGCGACGCGTAGCTCAAATTTAAAAAACAGTGTCATTTTAAAGAAAACAACATATCCCTTCCCATTTAAAAAAAATTATTATTTTATGCCATAAAATTAATATTTTTCACAAAATAAAGATTTTTTGCAATAAAATGTAAATTTCTATAAGGAGCCCCGTGCGGTCGAAGTGAATTATAAAACCAAGCCTCTAGATTACTTTGCCCACTTCATTCCTCACTACTTTAAGCATGTACAAAGTTCCGAATAAAAATGCAAAACCGTGCATACGGAACACATATACCCCGTAACGCACCCTGTGCAAAACTAATACGGGACAGTTCTGATCCGTAACGCACCCAGATATATACTTAAAAAAAAACTCCCGCAGCGAACGTGTTAATAATATTTTTTTAATAACATTTTTAAACTAGGTAGTTAACTTACTAACTAATCCCACCTACAGATTTAGTAGTTAGGCCCCACACATTTATTTTAGGTTTTGATCATTTGATCATGAAGTACCTAACTTTTTTCCACATCTAAAAGAACTAATATACTTTACAAAATAAATTTTACCATTAAAGATGTTTTTAATAAATTTTATTAATTAAATTTAATAAATATCATAAATTCTTTGTAATAATTATTTTCTTTATATTAAAACGTAACTTTTCTTTCCACAGTTCTTTTTAAAAATAGGGTGCACATGGACAAAAAAACCTTGCTGTACAGTGTACAGCGTACACCTTACTAATAGTCTTTTATTTATATGGTAATTATTCATTGATAAAAACACATGGGGGGTCCGCTGTCAAATAAAGCCTCTCAATTTATAAACGTCACCAGCATCGCTAAAGGAAGAAAAAGATAGGGAAAGTAACTCACCTTTCCGCAATTGATGTATTCGACTGCCGTTTCTCGAAAGAAGAAATAAACGAAGTCGCCTTGGGTCAGGGAGCTGACGAAATCCGGAGCTGCGGGCAAAACATCAAGACGCATTAATCAATGGCAAATACAAATACGCAAGAAAGAATGGATGGGTGAAGGTTTTGTGGTGTGTAGTATAGGGCGGCATTCAGTATTAAGAATATACAGGGTGCTTCACATTAAACATAAAACTAATTTTTAGTAACATATATACAATTATTTAAAAGGATTTAGAAGTGTATATTTGCAAAATTAGTTGATGTTAAAAGTAAAGAACATGCCCTAAAAACTTAAAAGTAACATTTTAAACATTTCAAATTCAAATAATATATTTCTAATTAAGCTGACGCATTGATCAATGACATATACACAATGACATCGAAATAATACATGGGTGGCGGTTTTTGAGGTAAGAAGCAGGGGCGGCTATCAGGAATTTTAATAACGGACCGTGCGACGACAATGTCCGATGTCGTGTCAGGGACTTAATTGAGGTGAGGAATGGCAAATGCTGTGCTTTCGCCGGATTGCTTTGTACGTACTGCGCTGTCCTGATTTGTTTATTTCATTAAAATATATTTTATTGTGTTTGTGATATTATATCATGCTAAAGGATATGAATAATTTTCTAAATGGTAATCTTGTTACAGCTACGATTTTTAACATTAATCAAAATAGTATATAATATTATATTATGCTAAAGGATATGAACTATTTTCTAAATTGTAAAAAATAATTTCTAATTATTTTTCTGGAGTTAGAGAAAATTATTTTTATTTTTTGATTTTGATACAGCTACGATTTTAAACATTAATTATATTTATATTATAATTATATTTATAACGACATAAGGCCGATATTAGGCATATAACTAACGAGGATTTTTGTAGCCGAGGCCGAAAGGCCGAGGCGTAACAATCATCCGAGTTCGTTATATGCAATATCGGCTGTATATTCTATACTTTTCATAATACCTACCTATAAAAAAACAACCGTACATTTGTTAGAATTTGACAGTGTCAATTTGAATGTCATGGTCAAACTTTAAGCTAGAAAAACTAATGCTTATATCAAGAAAACTGCTTTGATAGCTATTGGTAACAGTTGTTTATTTGTAAAATTCGTTTAAAAAACGTAATAGACATTCAAGAAGATAGCAAAGAAAATATTCGAGCTGAAGCGGCAGTATTAAGTTCAAATTTATTGCCAGAAAATACCATTGATCGCTACGAAAAAGAATATTAAGCACTTCAAATTTGGCTCAACAAAAAAAATGTGGAAACAATAACCGAAGATGTTTTACTCTGCTATGTGTCTGAGCTTTTGAAAAGTTACGCGCCCAACACCAACACCAAAAAAACGTGTCTTAATGAACTTTTTCTAACGATTTTACAGATTTGGAAAGCTTTTTACAATTTTAGAAGAGAAAGTCGGAGCGCTACACACCAAAAAAAGGTTTGATATTGTTAGCAAAGCAAATAACGCATTTTCTTGTGGAATCTTAGTACAGTTAATTTTTACCAGACAAAATAGTAGAAATTTTTTAATTTTTAGAGCTTGCCGCTGCGGCGCCGTAAGGAAATTGTTTCCTTGACAATTGATAACGTAAAATACGTTGGACGCTTTATAATTGTGAAACTACAAAACCTAAAAAATAAATCTTTCCGAAAGTTCACTATTACGAAAGAAAATAATACTTTCATGAGTATCTGTATAGAAAATATGGCGCACTACGACCCTTCAATTTTAAGTAGATGCTTTTTTGTAGACTACAGAAACGGCAAATGCATATAGAAAACTAAAATTGCATGAAAAAAAAAAGATTTTAAAACGACTACAGTGCAATTTATTCATTTCTATTAAACAAAGAACACGATTGAATTGTCAAAAAATGGCGAATGCGCCGGGATAGTAAGATGAAAACTACCTACCTTATTATTAACGGAAGGTTTTAAAACAAATTTTTGATTTTTACAGGACAAGCCTGTTAAACATTATTAAATGTACTGTTGAATTTTAAAAGAGATGGTAATATTTTCACTTTAAAAGTTTTAAAGGTTTTAAAACAAATTTTTGATTTTTACAGGACAAGACTGTTAAACATTATTAAATTTACTGTTGAATTTTAAAAGAGATGGTAATATTTTCACTTTAAAAGTAAAAAGTAGATTTAATAATGTTTAACAGGGTTGTCCTGTAAAAATCAAAAATTTGTTCTAAAACCTTCCGTTAATAATAAGGTATACCTAGGTAGTTTTCATGTTACTATCCCGGCGCATTCGCCATTTTTTGACAATTAAATTTTTATATTTATTTTAATTATTGTAAAACATCTGGTAAAACTAATTTTAAACCGGTTGTTTACAAAATTTTAAATAATATCAAGTTATAAGACAGCTTACTTAATTGCATAATCCATATGAAATAATAATAATTACTATTAATTATTACCAATATAAAAATAAAAATATAAAAATAGTGACAGGGATAGGTCACAAAATAAAATATAAGTACATATTAGGAATATTTTTTTCTGGGTACGTTCCTGTATGTCGCAGGAAGCAAGCAAGTAGCAATGGTAGTTAGAAAGAATAAGTGTCGTAGTATTTTTAGGGGTCGGCAAGTAGCCGATAACTTACCGTTAAGGCTCATCGAGTCGTATTGTTCGGTCTGAAGCGGCTCCCTGTAGATAATGGGATCCATTCCGCTGAAATCTGCCACAGTGCCCGTGTACAAGTCGCCGTCTGAAACAAAAAAGGCCAAAATAACAAACTGCACGCTCTCCTTTTATCTCTCTCCTCCTCTCATTATGATTATACGTCGGTCGGTTCGCCAACGATTCAATGGAGATAGATTCGGCACGAATTCTTTAATATAATGACCGCGCGTTTTTTTGTCTCTCGCTTTTCTCGGTTTCCATTGTATTTGCCATAATCAATGGAAGTTGGCCAGTAATATAGGCCGGATAGCTGATGTTCAGAGACGTATTCGGTTGCTTCAAAAAGGGTATTGTCTGTTTATTTTTGTATTATTTTTATATAAAGAATGGATTTTTTTAAATTTATGTAAACCTTAGCTTATTTTGATAAAAACGTAGTTTAAGATTTGTTATCTGAAAGTTAATAATAATAATAATAACACTGTGGAAATTACGCAACCTTCGTAGTGGATATCTATTATTACACAATACGACAAATTTTTTTTCCCTCCCATGAAAAATTCCTATAGATTTTGAAAATGGACTTAAAAAATGATACCCGTGTCTCGGAGTATTTTTTTAGATCACGTTATTTTTTTTAAGAGCGATTCAATAAAATGTTATTAACCGTATTCGGCACATAATATAACAGCTTCGATAACAGCTAGACTGTATATTTTTAAGAAAAATTTATTTAATGAATAAATGTACAACCATTAAAATTATTTATTTATTTTAAAATTATTTTAATTATATGTTGCACATTTACGAAATACGGGTGGTTTACGTTCGTGGTCCATTAAAAGTTTCTAAGGAACGGCAAAAGATATCGATTTTAAAGCGTTTATAATTCAATTTAAACAAAATTCCACTTCCGGTTTGACCGTTTGACACCCCATATATTTTTACATTTTTAAATTCTAAATAAAATTTTGAGTAAAATTACTGTGTCCTATACCTAAAGTGAATAGTTTTCGAGTTATTAATTTTTTTCGTTAAAATTTGACAAATGCGCGTCAATCAAAAATAGCCTATAACTTTTTTGCTATTAGGTTTGCCGAAATGTGGGTGGAATTTTTGGAATCTTAAAACATTGTTTAAAAGATTCCATGTCAATTCTTTAACATTTTTTAACAAATAACCCAAGAAAACCCAAGACAAATTAACTTGAAACGTTAATAACTTTTTTATTTTAAATGAACCAACCTGTATGTTTTTACATAATCAAATAGAAACTTAAGAAACATTTCGATTGATGTAATTGTTAAATATCTCTGAAATTATTAACTTTAGGTATAGGGAAAACTATTTACTTTAGATATAGGAAATGGTATAGTAATTTTACTCAGAATTGTATGTAGAATTTAAAAATGTAAATTTATATGGGGTGTTCTATTTGAAATAACAAAGTTCCGGTCAAACCGGAAGTGGAATTTTGTTTAAAATATTTAAAAATAAATAAACTTAAATGTATTATAAACGCTTTTAAATTTCAAATCGATATTTTTTCCGTTCCCCAGAAACTTCCAATGGACCACGAATGTGTTTTTTGGGTTGTGATACCACTATAGATTTTAAAGCAATGAATAATTGTCAAACTAAAAGATCAAGATTTGTTCCCAACATATATTTAATATAAGATAAATACAAATCTGTTGTTTTATTAAAAACAATCAAAAATTAAAACCAGAAATATTTTTTTTTACTTAAAAAAATAAAAATTGTTATTTTCTGTAAGTATAAATTTTGAATTATTTAAAAACATAAAATATTTAAAGAAAGAGGATTAAAAATCTGTTTAGGTTAAAATAATAAGAATGGACGTGATTTCGAAAAACGGTGAGAAACGGGTACGTTTTTTAACCTTTATTTTTAAAAAAGTTTCATGGGAGGAAAATCGTGTTGAACTGTGTTATAGATATATTTTAAAAAACATGTTCAACAATTTTTTATAATTTCGTAGCTCAAAAAATCTAAACAATTTTTTGCATAAGGTCATAAATTTAAATAAATATTTTAAAACGCCCATTATCGTATTTGTTTTCATCACAGTAAGTGACCTTTTAAATACACATTGACACAGTTGTGGCTTTATGGCGTTTTAGTCACGGGCTCAGGTTAGCAACAGGTTTTTAGTCACGGGATGAAGTTAGCTTTAAGTTAGTTGACAGTTGTCAAATGTCATACAATCGTTAAAATAAATTGCCTTTCTTGTAAATGTGAAAATTATTCTATTATCTCAATACAAAAATATTAAATATTTTCTCAACGCCAATATTTGAAAAGTTATTATGAACATTGTACTGACCTTTTAATTTCGCCGGCAGTAAACTAGATATAACTTAAATTCGGGGTCAAACTCCACAGTGAAATGCTCATAAAACATTTTCTTTACTTTCACTGAGAAAAACTGTTGTTAATCCATTTTCAAGGAATACATTTCGATTTATACCACATAAAAATTTGACATTTGACGATAATACAGATTCCCCTATTGTTTTATAGATGTCGCTCTATACAAATATTTAGTTTAACCCCCTTAAATGCATCGCGTAGCAAATTTGCAACGCTCCGGGAACTTTTATAGTAGACATACTGTATTACTTATCTGCACATTGTGAAGTATTAGCTAATAGTATATTATGTATCAAGTTTGATAAACGCCATTTTATACACGAATTTAATTTAGGCATGAGCGAGCTTGCGAGCGAGTGCTTAAGTTAGTGAGTTTATAGAAAAGTTTATAAACGAGGATCATATTACACTTTTCCTACGACAAATACTTATTATTATCTTAAATTGATTTAAATCAAAAATTCGTATAGGGCGCCATCTATGAAACAATAGGGGAATCTGTGTGTCACCGTCAAATGTCACATTTTTATATTTTGTAAACACAGATTATAAAGGTTATAAATCGAAATGTATTTCTTGAAAATTGACAGTTTTTCACAGTGAAAGCAAAGAAAATGTTTTATGAGCACTTTACAGTGGAGTCCGTGCCCGAATTTAAGTTATAGTTTACTGCCGGCGAAATTAAAAGGTCAGGTTCATATAAAATTTTTAAATATTGGCGTTGAGAAACTATTTAATACTTTTGTATTTTTGTATTGAGATAATAAAATAATTTTCACATTTAGTATTATTTTACAAGAAAGGCACTTTATTTTAGAAATAGAAATAGAAATAGAAATATCTTTATTAGTTCAAAAAAGATTGTATAACAACAACAGAGAACAACGATTGTATGACATTTGACAACTGTCAACTAACTTAAAACTTCAGCCCGTGACTTAAAACCTGTTTCTAGCTTCAGCCCGTGACTGAAGCGCCATAAAGCCTCAACTTGTCAATGTGTATTTAAAAGGTTACTTAGTGTCATGGAAACATGTACGATAAAGGGCGTTTTAAAGGTGGGAGTAGAAAAAAATTTTATTTGAACATATATTGCGCTTGAGTGACATGTCATGACAGTTTTATTTAATTTTTTACTGAATAAGTATTCTACTACATGAGTAAGTTATGTACTTTTATGTAAATAATATTATTGATGAAAAAACAGTTGGTGATTGCCTTTTTTCTGAAATACTGATTGTAGTATATCTGCAACAATATGCACTAAAGCCCTATATCTTTTTGAAGCATGTGTAGCAAAAAAGGTCTGACGGATGAGGAATTTGCTACATATTGTTTTTTTTTTCAAAATTAATTTTTGTATTCAATTTTGATTTTTTTAATTATTTTTTCTATATTATATTTGCCATTTGAAAGGGTTTAATCATTTTTAGAAATTAAAAAATACTTGTCGTATAAAAAGTATAGTATGCAAATCGTTTATAAACTTTTCTAGACACTCATTTAATTAAACACTCGCTTGCAAGCTCGCTCGTGCCTAATTTAAATTCGTAATTAAAATTCGTGATTAAAATGGCGTTTATTAAACTTGATACATAATATACTATTATAGAATAAAATGATTTTAGCCCGTATGAAGTATATCAAATTTAGAAAAAAATACCTATAACGATTACATGCTTATAATTCATATTCGCTTGCCTCCCATATTCATATTATAAATTGGTCTAATAATTTGACTTTAATTTATGTATTTTGAAATATTTTAATCACTGCAATAGCAGCAGTAGCTTCCCGTGCTAAATCCGTCGAATTAGAGAAAAGCAGTGCACTCGATGCAGTGCAATGCAATGCCATAGTTGATCTCGAAAATTCATACACACACTTACGTGATGAATGGTTTTAATTAATCATCAGTCGCCGGCAAAGCCGGTAGGTATTAATTTGGTTACATGCATGGACATCTGATATTGGCGAAATAATGCATCGGGCGCACAGAGGTCATTTTATTTTTTGTAGGAATTAATAAATAAAAAATGCAACTTTCTTAAATATTTAATTTTATGCTAGAATATTAAAAAAAACATTCCAAAGAAAAATATTTTTAAACGTACTTTTTTTTCTGATTTGAGTTGGCTCTCAAAAGGGTTAAAATATTAGTTAACAATTGTTGATAACTTGACTTTTACTTTTTTGACATATGTTGTGTTGTTTGCAAAGTGTATTTCTGTGTTCTACTTGCAGTCTTTTGAATTTGGTTTTTTGTTATTTAAGAGAGCAAGGTAAGGGCTTTAATATTTGATATAAAGTTATTTAAAAAATATGCGCTTATGTATAAAAGATAATTAAATATAAATGCATACATTTTTTTACGAGTTTTTAAAATTATATTAATTTTGAAAAGCTGCAAATTGTAATATTACAAAATATTTGTCATAAAAATATGTTTTATACTTTAATTGCTTTATTACCTTTTTGCTAATTTCGCATTTGGGTGCCAAAAAGTGCCAGGCGCTTTAAAAAAAATATTATTTTAGGACTATGTTAATAATTAAAAACGACATGTTTGCTGCTTGGTGCGGACAGACCTTACTTGGAGATAAAAATTCGTCTGTTTTTAAATTTGTTTTAAGAAAGCTCAACTTAAATAATGATCGACTTGATAATAGGTACGATATGGTAGCAAAAAAA